ACGCCCCCTCACCTGAGGCGGCGGTTCTCCACCCCTTGCAGCGGCCCCGGGGCGCAGGCGCGCTCACGCACGCGCGCACCGGGCCTGGGCGCCTAGGCGAATGGCTGGGCCGAACCGCTCGGGGGACGCTGAACCGCTCCGCGCACCAGCGGCTGGACTCTGCGCCGCAGCTGCCAACCAGGCTGAAGCGCTGGCCCGGCCCCCACCGGCCCGCCGCTCCGTCCGCCGCCATTGGCTCACCGCTGTAGCCTAGCCTCATTTCCATTGGTCCATGGCTGCTCCCGTGGCTGTCCATCACTTCTTGTTTACCCTGTCTGCGGGCAAATCCAGCCAAGCCGCCCCATCAACTCCGGTCCCCATTGGTCAACAGCGCGTCCTTCCCCACCCTCCAGGGGTCTGTTTTACATAATTTATGCACCGGGGGCCATTGGCCAATCAGCACAGGCTTGTTTATATAATGAATGTAAGGATGTTTTTCATTCATAAAAAACGCGACCTGAGGGGGAAGCTTAGCTGAGTCAGTGAAGCACTTAAAGGAGCCGAGGGCCTAGAGGAGCCACCGCTACTTCCCTCCTCGCAGCTCTCCCAACTTTCGATTGAGGCTTGGTTCTTTCCCCTTCCCACTTCACCCCTATTTCTCCTTCCCCTGCCTCCCGCCCCGGGTCCCCAGCACCACCACCGAGAGGACTGTGCCGCTGGGCGCCAGTCGTTCGCAGCTGCAGCACCAAGCGAAGTTATCATTTTAGAATTCAGGAGAGAGGAATTGGTCATTCCATCCGAAGAGAAACTCGCTGACCGACCTGGGCGTTCGGCCTACAGAAACACAGAAAACGGAAACCGAGCCCTCTAATCTTCGTTACCTTTAAGAGAGGCCTTAATTTCCTTTAACCAGGTTTCCAGTGCGGGAAGAATAAGTAGTATCTCCCTTTAAAATCTGAGCTCTCAAACAGATTTTAGTTACTATCTTATACCGGCAAGACCAAGGCCCAACCAAATCCCGTTTTCTCACTGTGTTTAATTGCAGTTTATAACCTCCGCCAGAGTGGGTTTTGGACCCGAGATGAGAGAGGGTCAACACTCAAATCCTCTCCAGAGCCTGCACCAACCAGTCAACCGACCTAGAAGCATAAATCCCTCCGAAACGGGCTTGCTGAGTTAGATCTCCTGCCTCCCTCCCGGGGCTGCTTGTTTTCCATTTAAGAGTTGAATGCAAGATGGTGCATTTGCGAATTAGATCCCGTGCAGCTGGGAAGGACTGAGAAGCTACTCCGCTTGCCAAACGATCGCGCACTAACCGCAACTGCTGAGATTCTTAACAGGGTGTTCCAGGAAACAAATAAGCAATCCTCTCCCTTCTCCACCCCCTCTGGCCCCTCCTGTGCTGGCCATGGGGCGGCTTTCTGCTCTCCTCCAGGATGCTGAGGCTTCTGAGGGAGCTCTTCTTGTCTTGTTCTGTTTGTGTGCCTTGCCATTCACCCCGTGTGCCAGCAGTGGGGAGGAAAGACGCCAAGTATGGGGGCAGCCGCTAGCAAAGGGGGTCCCAGCCAACTATGGGGCTGCCTCCTACCCGCACCACGGGGCATGCAGTGTGGACTTTTAGGGAAAACTTGCTCACCTTCTTTTCTGCTTCTACTTGTGGGCATTTGGGCTGTCGTTTATAGCCCAAGAAATGTTGAAATTCACGAAAGGAAGCCTAGAGTTCCTGGGCCGAGCGCTCATCAGGCATGAACTCCTGACTTTGTAAGAGAGTGGGGTGAACACGAATGGGTGGGTGGGAAAGTGCTCTGAACTTTAAATGAGCAGTTCCATGATATTTAATTTTGTAGTAGAGCATTTTGCTACTGGCCAGATCCAGTGGAGTTTTCCCTCAGTGCTTCTCTTTATTCCCCAGGTAACACCAGTGCTGTTTGGTGGCTGGAGTGCAATCCTAGACCCTCTGTCCTCCTAGTGATTTGCTGACATCCCTGAGGGCTCTGTCTCCCCCACTAGGCTCAGAGCCCAGGTTAGATCCCCAGTCCTCCTCCTCCCCAGCTTATCTGCCCCCATCCTGCTTCAGCTCATCCCAACTTATTCTGCTCTCTAATCTAGTTTCCTCAGAAGTTTCTGGATTCATCTTCACTGATGTCTGTCTTCAGGCCCAGCTCTCAGAAGGCCTGCAGCCCATGGGGCCACACATCCTTTGCCATATAATCACAGAACATCAGTCGCATTCTGGCTACAGGGAAACAGTACAGGACACTTCACAGCGACTTCCTCCATGGGGTTGGACTTGAGGCCTGGAGTGTGACTCCTATGACCTTTGCCTCAAGCCAAAGCTCTCCATTCCACCTTGGGAAGAGAACTTGGGTATTTCTGGATTAGGTAGTAAGTAATGAATATCGGTAGGGAAGGAATTGGAGGATGGGTTTTTGTAAGAAGATTGTCACAGACATGAAATCATGTGGAGGGATTTACACCAGAGAAGAGCTCTTGCCAATTAATTATTTAGTCATTTGGTATACATTTGTTTTGTACCCAATGCTCAGCCAAACTCTGTGTTCAGCAAAAAAGTTAGAGATAAGTTCCAGTCTTTGGCTTGGAGGAGCCCACAATCTATTGTACAATTTCAGCTGCTGAAGTTAACATATGACCTGTTTGTGCCATATACAATTCTCTATAGGTTATCTCATTTAATCCTTGTAATAATAGTACTGAAGTGGTCGCTACTTTTTTTTTTTAAATGGAGGCACTGGGGATCGAACCCAGGATTTCCTACATGCACTAAGTGCCAAGCATGCACTCTACTCCCAAGCTATACCCTCCTCCCCTGCTACTGTTAATATCTGCATTTTATAGGTGAGAAGTGGAGGCACAGAGAGATTAAGTAGCTTGCAATAGTTGCACAACTTGTACGTTGCTGAATCTGGATAAGCACTAAGGCAGGCAGGTTCCAGAGCCCACATGTGGAGACTTAGCATGTGCCTCTGTTGCTCAGAAAACCACCATGAAATATCACTTGAACCTGGAATGGTAGAGGGCAGAACTGGTTGAAGTCATAGGGAGGCAGATTTTTAGTTCAGTGTACGGTTAGGAAGGACTTTGGGATGTTTGGAGTGGCCCTGCTCCATTGAAGGAATTCTGCTGATAATGAGTCTCCCGTCACAAGAGGCATTTCTGCAGAAAGATTTAGTGCAGAGGGAGTACTGCACTGGATGGGATAGATGAATTCAGAGGATTGCTCCAGCTCTAAGAATATGGCTCTTGAGAATTAGGAGCTTGTGTTGGATGGGGGTTCAGGGCCTGGGCCCAGGAACCTTGGCTCTGCTGTGAAATGTGAGGGTACAACTCGTGATGAGCTACCTTGCTAGATGCACTCCTGGGCCCAGAGTTGGTTCCTCACTGTTAAGTGTTTATGATGTCTTTTCTCTATACCTCTTCCTTCTCTCTTGCTTCTCCTTAGTGACTTACCTCCGCCACTCCCATCCCCTTCCCACTCCCTGTCTTCTTGAAGTATTTAGAAGTTTTTAGAAGTTCGTTGTTTAGCACATTGAGTCTTTCCTCCTAAGAACATCACTTACATCGGTGCATTTGCCCAGCATATGTTCTAATGTACCATTCCCTCTCCTCCAGGAGAGAAACCAGGCTGGAAAAGATAACAAAGAGATCAGCCCTCTGGAACATTCATCTAGTGTCAGTCTAGCCTTTATTCTCTGGCAGTAGCAAAACTCACTTAATCACAGTAGGGGAACTAGCCCCTTGTTCTTCAATTTGCAGCACACCTTCAGAGGAACAACACGGAAGGATAGAAAAACAAATCCCTTGCCCTCAGCCTGAAAGCTTCTGTTTTCCTTTAGGGGGCTGCTTTTAAAGTTGTCCCTTAAAATCCAAAAACCAAGTTCAAGTATAAGGCAGGTAACCCTGCCTTGGGCTGATCACAAGATGGCAGTGGGAAATTGGCCGCATCACTGTCTTGGTCCCTCACATTGGGGCAATGCCTCCCATTCCTCTGGTAGAAATGCTGCAGGGAGTGTAGCCTGTCTGGAGTGGAGGTGGGGGAGTGGGCCACATGGTCCTAGGGGGCCTTTCCTATTTTTGTACAGCTATGGAGGAAGGGACTTGAGGACAGCGTCCAAAAGGTACAGCCACGTTTTTCTTGTCATCAAATGATAAAGGATTCTATCTGGCTGGCACACCTTTCTTTGTAAAATTCAGGTATAAATACCCTAAAAACCGAGGTAAGAAAAGAAAATCTTTTAGATTCAATATCTCTTTAAACAAATAGTTGCCATATTGTCTTCAGGGTTCTTCATAGTCAGGGAGTAATAATAGCTGACATTTACTGAGTGCTTAATATGAGCTAGACACTTTTCTAAACAGTTCACATGTATTAGCACATGTAGTCCCAACAACACCCCTCTGAGGGAGGTACTATCATTATCACCTCCACTTTCTAGAGATGAGGAAGTTTAGGTACAGGAAGGTTACATAAATCGCTATATGGCTAGCACACAGTAAGAGGGAAAGTGTACCCAAGAGGCCTCCTCCAGAACCTGGCCATTAATCACTCTGCTGGGCTGTCTCAGCTCAGTGACCACAGCCAAAACCGGAAGATCATTCCTCTGTGCCAGGCCACTTAGGGGCTTTGCTTATACTAACCCCCTTGATCCTCCCAACAACCCTGTAACATAGATACTATTATCATCCCTTTTTTAAAGATGATGAAACTGAGGCACAGAGAGGTTAGGTAACTTGCTCAAGAACACAAAGCTAGTAAGAGTTGGAGTCGGAAGCCAAACACAGAACTTGAACGGGGTCCTTGCTCTGAAACAATTTAAGTGGTCCCAGTTCCTGCGATCTTCCACTCTGTTGGTTTCTCTCATCTCTCCTTTAGGGCTCTGACGGCTTCCTTGCCACGCCCACAAGAGTCACTGTGCTTCCTTGGGAACGTGCTCCAGTGACTCCAGCCAGACTTTTGAATTACTATCCTGGGCCGGCTCGAATTTGTCTCCACTACGGCCACTCTAGAAAGAGAATGGAAATTACCTGCGCTGAGCATCCCCTAGATGCCAGGCTCTGTGCTGGACAATTCACACACATCATCCTTTAGCACTCCCAGTCCTCGTCGGGGGTGGTACTAATACCCCCTTTGCAGATGTGAAAACTGAGGGTCAAAGTGCGAGGTTAAACATGTCTGAGGCT